GCCAACAAAATTGCCCAATGTAGTAGACTGGCTTAATGAGTTTCATAAGGAACAAAGAGAGAGAGACAAACGGCGAGAAGAAATGGTGAGAGAACACAATCGACAGAAACTTGACAGATTTGACAGACTTCTCGATATTCTTGCTAAATCGAAAAAAGAGGATTGAACATTCTCGATTGATCAGTTGATCAGGCTAAAAGTTCTGTGTTGTTGGTGTTCCTTTTTTGCTAAATCGTCGCAGAGCTGACAAACCGGCGAATCGACCATTTTTGCGATTTCGATATTTTGTTATTTTTAGGCTTTATGAAGGTTGCTCTTTCAGGTATTTATGCCAAAATTCTTAATATTTGTCTGGATTTTGAGATTCAGAGCCCCCCTTGTGGCGAATCACTCACAAAAACAAATCCATAATTTGACATAGTGTCGAATACGAAATTTCGCTGGTAAGCAGCTTATGTAAGGTGTGCGTTCCAAGTACCAACGAATGTTATTCGTCAGTTTGTTGGATTGCGCGTGCGTGCACGCGCGATCCGACAAACTGACGAATAGCATACAAACATTTCGCTGGTAACCAGCTTATGTAAGGTGTGCGTTCAAAGTACCAACGAATGTTATTCGTCAGTTTGTCGGATTGCGCGTGCGTGCACGCGCGATCCGACAAACTGACGAATAGCATACAAACAGTGTGAAGAACAACCGGATATTGCAGTTTAATGTAATTTGACAAACTGACGAATGCGTTTACGATCAAATAAAATCATATCGCACAACTTCTCTGATTAAATAAGTGACCTGGTGGATTCTTAGTTTCATATTTTATTCAGAATATATACTAACAGTTTTTTTATCGAAACATTGAGGGTAAAATACGGCGCCCGGAGAAGTGTCCAACTTCAATCGCGAATTACTCCAAACAAGGTTTTCGCTTATTCGTCATTTTGTCAGCTCTGCGACGAAATACTCTGCAAATATAAATATAAAAAAAACTAGAAATGTGTTTGTGGACAAACACTGAGCTGTTTCGACCGTTTTATTAATGACTGCCGTAAAGGAGTTTCATCCAGGTCGAATGAACATGTACAAGCGTATTCTATACAAAAAGTGTCCATCCTATGTAAAATTATAATATTTTTCATGACGTCAGGATGACGGCACACATTTTAAAAACTTTTCTGTAACTATCTACGACCTAACAAACTTTTTTGCAAACATTTTTTTTCGAATTAACCACGTTCCATTGGTGAGATATGAGTAAAAGGTCCAAAAATTGAATAATTCATATGAAATCACATGATGACGTCATCGTGACGTCACTGCAATTTTTGTCTATAACACTTCCTGGAATATCTGCATACCGAGATTGAACCCAATCGGACCTCAGGTTCTCTAGATATAGTGACTTAAACTATGCAGATTTAGGATGATGTCAAGTGACACGTGATGACGTCATGATGCCGTCATGATTCGACCTGAATCTTCAGATGGTGGTCCAAGTGTGTGCCAGGTTTGAAGTCGATCGGACCGTATTTTATACATTTTTTGCAAAATTTGATTAAGGGAATAAATGTGTGCTCCGGAGGTTTTTATCACTCTGTTTAATACCACTTAGAGTCTGGGTGCTGATAATTACCCGAGCCGGAGGCGAGGGTAATTATCAGCACCCAGACTCTAAGTGGTATTAAACAGAGTGATAAATACCGACGGAGTACATATTTATTCCCATTCATAAATACCTTTTCGGTAAAAAAAAATCATATAATTCGTTCAAAACATCCCGATTTTGTTCAACAAATTCACTTTATGCTTTTGAATCATCCCTCCTGCAAAATAATGGAGTGTTCAGCTGGCGAGTAAGATGAAAACAACCCTTTTATGGAGATTGACGCGCGCGTATCATGTTCTATGCGATGTCGCGCAGAACGCACCTGGCGCGTTGCGTTTTGAATTTAGAACTATAAAATTCTAACTCCCTGGTAGTGTTGCGCATGTCTACGTGAGGATTGTGAACGTTCAACCAATGAAACGATAAGAGGCACTGGATTTTTAGGAGTCCACATTTTATTGTAACTGGAAAAGTGTTTAAGACCAGCTAGCCATGTCTTTATCATCCGTTTAATACCGGCCACGTGACGGGCTCTCGACCAATAGGAATGGCTAAACTGTCTGAGGTATGTATGAATAAATATTAAAATTTGAAAAATTCATAAAAAAATCAGATGATGACGTCATGATGATGTCACTTCAGATTTTGAATGCTGTTATCTATACCTACCTACCCACCAAGTTTCATAACGATCGGACATACCCTTATATGTGAATCAAAAATTCACGTTTTTGATGACGTCATGATGACGTCACACATTTTACGAAATTTTGTGCATCTATCTATGACCTAACAAACCTGTTACAAAAAGAATTTCGAATTTACCACATTCCGTTCATGAGATATGAGTAAAAGGTCCAAAAATTGAATAATTTATATAAAATCACACGATGACGTCATCATGACGTCACTGCAATTTTCGTCTATAACACGTCCCGGAACACTTGCATACCAAGTTTGAACCAAATCGGACTTCCGGTTCTGTAGATATAGGGCCTTAAAGTATGCTCCTTAAGGATGACGTCACGTGACACGTGATGACGTCATGATGACGAAAAGTTTCGGCATACATCTTCAGATGTTGGTCTAAGTGTGTGCCAGGTTTGAAGTCGATCGGATTTGAAAAAAGTCCAAAAGTGCCTTGTAGAACGAAAACACGTGTTATCCTATGGGAAAAAAAGTGGAAGAAAAAAAAAAAAAGAGAAAAAAAAAAAATAACAAAAACAAGAGCTGTTTCGGTGTGTACACCGAAACAGCTAATTAAACTTCATATAATAAATATGGCAGAGCTTGTATAGTTTCATCTGATTATATGTTCCCTTTCCATCTTTGAAAATTATAACATTATTCACAATATACAATTCTATCAGTACATTTGTACCTTTGCTCTTGGTCAAATGAAGTGTGTATTGTTATAAAGTAGGTTTATTGCTGTAGTCTCACAAGAAGTTGTGTTTCCTGTAAAATGTAGGTGGTAAAGTTTTTCTCCTAGTTTTTCCTCAGCTAAAGAAAACCTATAACTGCATTTTTTGATAGGTTCTGAGTTATTACTTTGGGGCAAGTAATACTGTGAATCAATCATTTGGACACAGACAAATGTTATCTGTTCATTTTTTTTGTTCTGGTTCTTTAATATGCTTGTATACTTACAAATAGGTCATTTGGCTTTGAGCCTTAAACAAGTTCATAAAATTTGGGTAACAATAAATAACAATAAACAGGCCTAATAATAAAATATATTATTTAAAAAAATGCATTCCATGTCACACAGACATCACAAAGCGCTGTACAATTAAAATTCCATAAGTTATTAAGAAATACAGATAAAAGCAGTCAAAACAAAAGACAAGTAATTAAACAATCAATAAAAAATAACAAATACTTTTAGCTGCCCTACCAAGATCACATAATAAATTAATTTGTATTAATTGTATCAGCCAAAAGTTTCCATACATTGATTTCCTACAGTAATAGTGAAAAAAATGCCCACTAATTTTTATGCTGTTGAAAAAAATTGTTTATTACAAACTGAAGTTGTACTAACCGTTTTTGGCCTTGTTGGAGTTGGTATTAATTTTCAAAAAAAAATTAATGTACGTTTATTACAAACTGAAGTTGTATTAACTGTTTTTGGCCTTGTTAGAGTTGGTATTAACCTTCAAAATAAAACAAGAATTTGGTAAGAAATTTGCAAAATTTTCTCACATACCAGGTCTCTGTTATTTTAAGTTAGTCAACACGAGTATAATATCCAGATACAATTGACATTTTTAAGGTCACTATTTTGGATATAAAATATGACAAACGGCAACTTCCTGAAAATCAGAACAATGAAAACGTACATGTTACATATGAGTTTGCACGTAACTTCTGATTTGATGACGTTCTAGCATTTGCACACCAATGACTGGAAAGTCTAGTGTAGTGCAATTATTTGTGTAAAATAATACTTCTGCATGTTTACTGAATGACGGCGTAAAAACAAGGGAAACGCATCATTTTCCAAATTTACACTTTTTCTCAAGCGTTCAAGCTCCACTTTGGTAAATGTGTGTGAAATTCACCTCCATTTTAAATGTTTTTTCATATATCGTTGCACTTCAGTAATCATGGACATAAAGGTTATCTGATGTGTCTGTGAATCAACTATGTTGCCTAAAATTAGGCTTAACAGATCGGAAAATATGAAGTGATGTCTCATTCAGTTTGATAGTTATAGCTAAAATTGTTTCTTTTAATTTTGACAATGTAATTTGACATTTGATAATGTCACAGTGATGTCACAAAAATATGCACACCAAACTTTGGGTTTCTACCAGATTTAAAGTTTACACCATGACCGGTTTAAAGACATTTGCTTATTTGAATACAAACTTTTCAGTAGTTTAAATTCATTTAACTTTGAGTTTAACCATGGAAGTATATGTAAGGGTCAGACAACAATATTTAGCCCCCACTCAAGATCTGTCAGATCCGATATAAGGAGTATCATACCATGTTCCCTCAAATACAGTTATAAGAAATCGGTCATTGTTTGAGTTAAACTTTTTTGTAACTTGATGACTGATGGTGTCATCATGACATCACACTTGCATGCACAAGTTACTGGGTATAAAGGTTGATGATAATGCCAGTTTTCAAGTTGATATATTTTACCCTCTTGAAAAGACTTACAGATTTGTGTGTGGAAAAAAACACTAAAAAGAAGAAACCAATACAGTTGAAGACTGATAAGAAGAGCACTGTTAATACAACGTCATGCTTATAACAAGGAAAATTTTAGGTCCCAAGTCTGTGGTTTTTCTTTGTTTTCAATACTGTTAATACAAGATATCTGTTATAACAAGGAATTTTGTAAAGTCTGAAGGACCCTGTTATATCAGTGTTTCACTGTATATTGGAAAATGTGGGGAGTTTTATTATCCATTTCCAAACTTTACACTGCTGATGAATCTGAGTCTGTCCCGTAGAGCTATATTAGATTACTAGAGCGCTAACTCGATGTACAAAGTGATGCCTGCTGATCGCATCCATGTTTGTGCACAAACCTATGGGAAAACTCGAAATTTTGTACAGCTTTTGTATGGCTATGTGCATATCTGCGTTTTTATTCTATACTGGTGCGTTATCAAAGCCCAAAACAGAAACACAAAATCACTAAGTGAGCGTTTCATTTTGTTCTGCGCAAACAACGCAAACACATGCACGGATCAGCTCCAGATAATTATGCTGTGACGCTTTTTAACTATCATGACGCGCCGCGCGTATGATGTACTTGCGCGTTGCATTTAGAGTACACTTCCAAAATTCACTCCATTTAATTTCATTGTTCTACAAACACGCACATTAATTCAAAATGTCTGTGCCCAGACAACTTCAAAATATCTCCGCGCGTAAGAATGAGGAGGTCGCGCTCTAGTAATTTAATATAGCTCTATGGTCTGTCCACACTAAATGATACAACTGCACAACATAAAAAATAGCTCTCATTTAAACTTTGTTAACAGTCAAGAAATAAGCTTCAATGATTCTAGTAGTAGTCGTACAATAGTAGAAATATAGTGTACATAATAAAGGATTTGGTTGTTAGTTGTTGAAATAATGAGAAATTTGATACAAATGTCCAGTTTATTTTTCGGGGGTCCTTTTTCAAGTTATGTAAAATAGGCATTATCATGCGGAAAAAAAACAATTCATGGGTACTGAAAATGTTACAGATGAGAAATAAGTTGAAATATAAAGCTCCTCATTTTAGTCTGGAAAAAATGAATGTGGGTGTACATGTACAGTGTCCTAACTATTCTCTTTGTTAAAACTGTCTCCATCAATTAGCAAAACAATTAATTTGAAATTTTCTTGTCTGTCCTGGTAACAAACGTTATTTTCAAGGCATCCGTTTTCCAAATACTTCCTTAAGAAAGAGGATTGTTTCTTTGAAAGTTCTCTAAATGGGCAATTCCAAGGTAACGGAATTACAATTCAGAGAAATTTTGGCTCTAATTTAATGGATTTTGTTATCTATAGTGTCAACTAGGCCCTATGCTTTGAGATAATTGATTCAGACTGTACTTCTTACATAATTCGTACTTCACAAATTTTCCGAAAAATGTCGTTTCTCATACGGAATTGCCCAACTACATGTACTAACAGTGTTGGCACTTAATTATACTGGAACAAATATTATCGGACTTGGTTCATACTGCTTTGAATAATGGTGAGTCGAAAAAAAGTGTTTGTCCATGTGACAAACATTATGCCTTCACAATTAACCTTCCATAGCTCCTTAAATATTGCTTAAATTTTCTTAACCTTTCTGGTGTAAGAAGCATAAAAATAAGAAGGGCAAAATATTGCAGTTGGAAATTCAAACTCAGTGTCACAAAAATGTATCATTTAGTGTGGACAAAGACAGATCATAGAGCTTTATTAAATTACTAGAGCGCGAACTCCTCATTCTTATGCACATAGCCATACAAAAGCTGTACAAAATTTCGAGTTTTCCCATAGGTTTGTGTACAAACATGGATGCGCTCAGCAGGCATCACTTTGTACGTCGAGTTAGCGCTCTAGTAATCTAATATAGCTCTACGGGACAGACCCATCTAAGGAGAAAACTCCAAACTCACTAACACTGGGCAACCAAAGCATTCCTCCTGACATGTCCACCTGTTGCATCTGCAAAGATATTCTCAAGTTCCATGTCATCTTGGTCGTCGAAGTTGATGAAACTGCTCACATCGTCATCAGACAGCACGCACAAGTTGTGCATTACACATGTAGCCATTATAAATTGGCATATCTGACTTATGTCATGGAACATGAGCTCTCGCAATCTTCGGAACCTGCCTTTTAGGTGGCCTATGGCTCTTTCCACAACTTGGCGTTTGCCAGACAACATCCTGTTAAATCTGCGTTGCTGCTGCGACAGGTGTCCGTTGTCTTTGAAGGGTGTTACCAGCCAGCTTCTGAGCGGGTAGGCAGTATCACCTATGAGATACTGATGCTCTGCCAATTTATGTCCATCTTCAACGTCATGGTACAGTGGAGAGTTGCGGAAAACCCGTGCATCGTGCACTGATCCCGGCCATCCTACATATGCATCCGTTATTAGCATCATGTCATCAACTACAAGCTGCAGACAAATAGAGAAAATATCATAACACAAAGGGTTAAATAATATAGCATATCATTTTCAATTTTACGGGGGAATTTCTGAATACAGCTTTCTGAACCCATGACTGAGCACAATAAGCACAATCAGCACAGATATCAAGCAACAAGCACAGATGCGTTGGGTAATTATTGATTCAAAATGACAGAGCTACCAGTTGGATCTCCTTTAAGACACCAGAAATGCACAATCTTCATTTGAAATCTTTTCTTTTCATTTGTTGCCTTTTTAATGTAGTTTGTGTCAGTATTTGCCTCAGTTGTTGATCGCATCGCGCAATTTAAGTTTGCGCGCGCAAACTTGAACAAAATTAATCACCGCGCACAATTTTTGAAATTTGTGCGCGCAAATTTATAAACTACGTGTCTTTCAAAATTGCGCTCAACACCACGACTGTTTGTGGGCCCACTTATGATAATTTATGCTGGGTTAGGTCTAGTGTCATCGGAACTTATGAATTACGCACATAACCGCGTACAGTTGCAAGTCAGGTTCACGGACTTTACCTTCCCTTGAAAAAAAAATCCTCCAAGCCGCTAAAACCCCAATGGGGATCGAACTCGCACCATTGGAATTGTAATCCCATGTAGTATCCTACAGCGGTGATTCGACAACAGTGGTAATTTTAAACTATGCATGTATAACGCCTTTCAGCAAAAATCATATGCGTGCGGGTATGCATAATTCATCATAAGCTCCAATGACGCTATATAACCCAGCATAAATTATCATAAGTGGGCCCACAAATGGTCGTGATCCTGGCACTACGTCATTTATCTTTTGGAAAAACAGTTGTATTTATTTTCTGCCAAAAGAGATAAGTATCAACATGTGCATTGTATTTCAAAATACAGAAACAGTAGTCAACTAATTAAAGCGATCAGAGCAGTATTAATTTAAACATGACTAACCTGAAGCTGGACGGATGGATAGGATTTTCGATTTATATAATCAGGTTGACCATTCAGAATGTTGATAATTCTGATGTGGGTCCCATCGATCACACCAACGATGCCACGAAGGCAGCTTTCCCCAGCAAACCCTTCAGCAATATGAGCTTGTCTTGTTTGGTCAGGCCATCTTATCACACTATGCCGTCTAGTGGATATAGTTGCTGCAACTTTGTGAATGCATGAGTGAACGGTTGACTTGGACAACCCAAACATATGGCTTACACCTCTCATGCTACTTTGGTTACATGCATACCACAGGAAGGTCAGACATTGCTTGTCAGGCAGAAGTGGAGTATTTCCTCCGCAATAATCACGGTAAAGTTCAGGTCCCACTTTACCAAGCAATCTTTCAAATGTGACACGACTTATTCTAAAATGATATTTAAAGTCCCAGGAGGTGTACTGTGGCACGACTGTTTCAACGAATCCCTCAATTCTTGGTACTTTCTCTCTCTTCTGGTTTACGAATGCCAGGATATATGAAGGAAAATCGTTATCTCCATCAAGTGCTTCGTCATCATCAAATTCAAACATTAAATCATGTAGAACGATAGCTAATTCTGCCATTCTGACAGTGACTGACACCGCCTCAAACTCAAACACACCTCGCGGAACATGTTTATAAACAAACGGCAGCCATCTTTAAATACCATCATGAGAGATTTGTTGTTGCCATGATGGCGCTCTTCATTGTTCGGGTCGTTCGGGCGGGTAGTCCGGGAACAAAACTCCGCTGTTCACGAACAGCCGAGAACGCGGTCGCCCGAACTCGACCACAAAATCGCAAGGGTTCGCGTGTGATAGCGGTTTGTCAGGAGATAGCGCCCTCTATATCAGTGATGGTGCGTCATAACGGTTCTGGGTTGATTGTGCGCTCGTTGAATAAAACACAAGGAGCGTCTCGGACCCGAGACTATACTAATCCCCGTCCCCATACTGATCCCCGTCCCCATCCCCATACTGATCCCCGCCACCACCCCCATACTGATCCCCGTCCCCATCCCCATACTGACCCCGTCCCCAACCCCACACTGATCCCCGTCCCCATCCCCATGCTGATTCCTGTCCCCATCACAGTCCATGCTGACCCTTCTGCCCACCCCCATGCTGATCCTTCTCCCAAACCCCATACTTATACCCGTCCCCATCCCAATACTGATCCTGTCCCCATCCCCATACCGATTCCCTCCCCATCCCCATACTGATCCCCTTCCCATCCCCATACTGATCCCCATCCCCAACCCACCCCCGATCGCTCACTTCCCATCTGATCGCTCTCTACCATGCCATATCCCCCCCCCACGTCCATCCTCATCCCTCGTCCATCCTCATGTCCATCCCACCTTCCATATCCCTTGTCCTTGCCTCTCCGTCTTCTTCTCCTTCCATCCTAATCACCACGATAATCAGCATCACTCTTAGCATCACAAGTGCAATACTTTTTATTCGCTATCTTTTGCCATCACGAGTATCACCACATTCGGACAATGGCACCAACTACATTAATTTTGAATAAAATTAATATTCTTTTCTTTCATTCCAGATGTAAATGATCCGCATCCTTGGTGGCTGCTTGACCTAGGTAGCAAGCACTGCTTGGGGAGAATCAACGTCACTCTCCGAAAACACCAATCGGGTAAATTTTCTTCACAATGTTTATCGGGTGACTTATATTAGATTTTAATAGGTTGTTGTTGTTCTTTTTATTTCGTTTTAGTTTTTTTTAAGAGAATTTGCGAAATTGTATTTTACTAAGTAGAACTAAAGGATTACGGGATATTTTTTTATTACTCTTTATCCAAAGTTTTGTAATATTTTAGTTCCGAATTTTAAGAAATTTGTTTGTTTTTTAAAGAAGTTTTACTCTCTTTTCTTCTCTAGGCTATTGTTTCATCGGGGCGATAGTGCGAGCCGGACTGAACCCCAACTTCACCGAGAACCACCCATGTGGCTCACCGGCTACCAGCGAACAGTCTCAGAATGGAGCCGAGATCACGTTCCTGTGCCTGCGGACGGCTAGGTACGTCAGTGTGGACATCGATACTTCTATGCCTGGAGTAGATCCGACAAAGGCAATCCTGCAACTTGCTGAGCTGACGATGGAAGAGTTTACGTCTGGGGAGTGTACTGGTAGGTGAAAACAGTCGTCTGATATTACCTAGGCCAAGCTTTAAAAAAAAAAAGAGTTTGCAACCTGTCTGCAGAAATCAGCAGGTTACCAAGAACTTCGCTCGTACCCTCCCCCCCCCCCTCCGCCCTGCAAACTTGGATATGCTAATGAGCTTTACGGAATCGTGTGAAGGAAGTGGCCTGTGACCTATGTATAAAGCATCTGTCTGCAGCTGTTCAAAACCGCAGTTACACAATGTGCGTAAATGAAAACTTCCCATAGAATGGACCGATCCAGTAAGCCCCTCCCACTGCGCACTGGGCAAATTAACACGTGCTCCTCTCCAATGCCACACTGCATTTTCCTGCCGCGCGCATCATACGCGCATGCACGCATGTCGGACTTTTGTGCACTCATGTCGGACATAAATCACGGCTGTGATTGGTCAGAGCACCATGGGGTGGTTCTTACTGGATCGGTCCATTGCGCACATTCCATACCGGATGTGATTATGTTTCATTGCGGACCATGTGGACACAATTTTAAACATCGCATTATGCAATCCGACCGTTCGTGATTCGAAACGGAGCCTGAGCAAGTGACGGGAATTGTAAATGTAAACCTTACAATGTAAACCTTACAGTGTTACACTATAAACCTTACAGTGTTACACTGTACACCTTACAGTGTTATGACCGTGATGACACGCAGGTCACAGTCACGAATTAGAGCGCAGTCAGTAGCCGTGTCACGCACACAGCCTGTTTGACCTCAGTTTCTCGCCCCGAGGTCGAGCACGCATGGCCCAAAAGCGTGCGCGAGATCTTACGAGATTTATTCGAGACTACAGAAAAACACAAAAAAGTGCCTCAATACATGCACTGTTTGGCCAAGATGGCTAAATAAGTGAACAGTTGAAAAATGTCTTTATTTTGATAACAAAACAAAAAAAATCGTTTTTGACAAATATGTGATGCGCTCAAGCTACATAAGTCATTTGTCGACCTCGGTCAAAAATTTCTTTTTTACAGATTTGAAAAGAGTACAATCTCAGCATTACTGCTGTGAAAACCGCATGCTGATACCATCTGTAATTTAAAAACTATGGAAATCGGAACACCAAGAGATGTGATGAAGTGATGTGATGAAGTGGCCCTATTTTGGTCTGCATCTCCAAATAAAAAATCCCGACAAACGACTCATCATTTAGCTTGATCGCATCACAAAGTGTTGTTATGGCCTGTCAAACAAAATCATATTTTTTATCAACAAAATCGAGGTCAGATAGTTTAAGGTGTACATTCGTTTCTTAAAAAAGGCCGAAACAAATGGCAAGGCTTAGTAGATAGAGGAAAGTATACGCTTCATTTTCATGTGAAACTCGTGCAGGAGACTAATGTTTGGTCCAAATCGCCGGTTGAAAAATGAAGACTTTTTCGAGATTTCATGTTTTGCAATCACAATGTGCGCGTGTAAATGTACGCCGACGTACATTGGCCTGAAACATTGTGAATATCAAGCGCTATTCGCGCAACGAATGACTTGTGAATATTAAGCAGGCCATACTCCAGCGCGAGCTCGACCAATCTGTGGGCGTATGGGTCACAAGGTCACATCGTGTTTGGGTTCCTTGCTCTATGCTTTAGGCCAAAAAAAGTCTCCGGTTTCTGGTATAAAGCTTGCCCAAAAAGTGGTGCGGCGACGCGGGTTTTTTTTTTTTTTTTACCTGTTTTTTTTTTGCTTCAAATGTCGGCTGATGAATGCAAATGGTGCCCGACTAAACTTAGTGCAAATATATGGGAGTCCAGAGAGGCCACATAAAGCTTATTCTCGATCATAACCCCATCTAAAAACACGTTAAAATTGTGCAGCAGCAGGATTTTAGTCAAACCAGTGAGTTTGGCAGTTTTGAGACATCATCTTTTAATGGAACTTGATGGAAACATTAGGCGTACATCGAATTCTTAAAATAACGACATCGCTTTCACGAGATTTTTGTAAATGAAGGCCACTCTTTCGTTTGATTACCTTAACATTTGGGAGACTTTCGTCGTTCATAAAAAACCCGGCAATTTAATGACCTAATTTTTAGTCGATTTGTTCGTGAAGTAATATCGTCAAAATGCATCGAAATCCTTTTTTGAGAAAAAAAAATACCTTGATAGCTACATGAAGTAGGTCTTTAACTACCTAAAGCAACTTTGTTTGTTTGGATTGGTTATGATTTATGCAATGAAAATTGCGAATTTTTTGAAGCCCTTTTTACGGCCATCGTTCGCTGGCCTCGCGTTGCTATCAATTGTGTGGACGAGAAAATAGAGCAGCAACGCGTGACACGGTAACTGACTGAGCGTGAATTCATCAGAGTATCCCAGCGTTCTGTTTGCAGGGCGGGGGTACGAGCGAAACCAAGAACCGTAACTTAAAAATGGGCCAGTAAATTCCACTTATTCCACATTCCACTGCGACACTTAGGGTAAGCTCTTCGAGGAGAAATATAAAAAGTCAAATTGCGCCACGTAAGGAAAATAAGCAGACGTGGTTCACGCATGTTATGTCAGTAACTTGCATAACCTCATCAACGTGAATTATAATTGATAAAAAATACTCCCCTTTTTGAACAAGCACAAGAATGTTCACCAATTTTGTAGAAATATTTAGGAGAGCAATTTGTGGGAGGCCCTCTTTAAATGAGGTAGGTCCAAGGTCCCGACCAGGTAGTCATGTAATCCACTGCTGGGTTTAATACCCATGGTTTCAAGACACCTTGCAGCTATGGACTCTTGGAAGCCGAGTGTTCTGGTTTTCCAAACGACTTGCCATAATAACATGTGCACGGGTGGACGTACCGTTCGCTGGTTCGCGCGCGCTGTTTTTCGTGTTTATAGCACACTCAGAAGATGGTACCTGATGCTGACTTATATGGTGTCCAAACGCGAGTAGCGCATAAATAACGACACGAGTACTGTTTGACACAGATTTAGAACTTTCTGGGAGCAGCCATGTTTCAGAGAATGATAACATTTGCGCAGAGCCCTCTGTTGGCTAAAGGGTGCAAGACTAATAAGTTGTACATTGTATATTATATTGTTACATTTGCCAAGGTCTTTGCGTCATTTTTACAGCCAAG